TGTTGTGCTTCGTTTCGGTGCAGTATTGCTTCACTAGCTCTCATCATCATCATCACCACTAGCTCCCTCACCATCATCATCACCTAGCTCCCTCATCATCATCATCATCACCACTAGCTCCCTCACCATCATCATCATATGCTCCCTCTCCTCACCACTAACTCCCATCATCATCATCTATCTCCCCTACATCATCATCTCAACTACCTACATCATCATCATCAACAGCTCCCCTCTCACCTATCACCACTAGCTCCCTCATCATCATCATCACTAGCTCCCTCATCATCATCATCACCACTAGCTCCCTCATCATCATCATCATCAATACCTCCCCTCATCATCATCAATAGCTCCCCACCATCCTCACTACCACTCACCATCATCATCATCACTGCTCCCCATCATCATCATCACCACCACTAGCTCACCATCATCATCATCACTAACTCCTCACCATCATCATCATCACTAGCTCCTCATCATCATCATCATCACCTAGCTCCTCATCATCATCATCATCCTGTCCCTCACCATCATCATCATCTAGCCCCCACCATCATCATCATCACTATCTCCCTCATCATCATCATCACTAGCTCCATCACCATCATCATCACCACTAGCTCCATCACCCATCTCATCATCACCACTAGCTCTCCCATCATCATCACCACTAGCTCCCCTCACCATCCTCATCATCCAATAGCCCTCACCATCCTCATCATCAACTAACTCCCTCCATCATCATCATCATACCTCCCCTCACCATCATCATCACCAACTCATTCACCATCACCATCTGTCTCCTCACCATCTCATCAGCCTAGCCCCTCACCATCATCATCACCACTAGCTCCACCACCATCATCAACCAGCTCCCTCACCATCACCATCACCACTAGCTCCCATCACATCATCATCATCAATCAACTCCTCACCATCATCATCACCCCTAGCTCCCTCATCATCATCATCATCACCACTAGCTCCCTCACCATCATCATCATCCATAGCTCCCTCACCATCACCATCACCACTAGCTCCTCACCATCATCATCATCATCAATAGCCCTCATCATCACCATCACCACTAGCTCCTCACCATCATCATCATCAATAGCTCCCTCACCATCACCATCACCACTAGCTCCTTACCATCATCATCATCATCAGCTCCTCACCATCATCATCAATAGCTCCCCATCATCACCATCACCAATCATCATCATCACTAGCTCCCCTCACCATCATCATCACCCCAGCTCATCATCATCATCACCACTAGCCCCTCACCATCATCATCATCCATAGCCCTCACCATCACCATCACCACTAGCCCTCACCATCATCATCATCAGCTCCCTCATCATCACCATCACCACTAGCTCCCTCACCATCATCATCATCAATAGCCCCTCACCATCACCATCATCACTAGCTCCCTCATCATCACCACTAGCTCACCATCATCATCATCATCTAGCCCTCACCATCACCATCACCACTAGCCCTCACCATCATCATCATCACTAGCTCCCCACCATCATCATTATCACTAGCTCCATCATCATCATCATCATCATCATCATCATCATCACTAGCTCCCCATCATCATCATCACCACTAGCTCCATCACCATCATCATCATCACCACTAGCTCTCTCACCATCATCATCATCACTAGCTCCCTCACCATCATCATCACCCAGCTCCCTCACCATCATCATCACTAGCTCCCTCACCATCATCATCACCACTAGTCACCATCCTCATCATCATAGCCCCTCACCATCATCATCATCATACCTCCTCACCATCATCATCACCACTAGCTCCCTCACCATCACCATCACAACTAGCTCCCTCACCATCATCATCATCACAGCTAGCTCCCTCACCATCATCATCATCAATAGCTCCTTCACCAGCATCATCACCACAAGCTACCTCACCATCATCAACAACATCATCATCATCATCATCATCAGCATCATCATCATCACTAGTCTCCCTCATCCTCATCATCATCCTCATCATCATCATCACCACTAACTCCCTTACCATCATCCTCATCATCATCATCATCATCTTCATCATCACCACTAGCTCCCTCATCATCATCATCATCATCACTAACTCCCTTACCATCATCATCATCATCATCATCATCATCATCATCAACGTCATCATCATCATCACCACCAATAGCTCCCTCCCCATCACCATCATCATCATCACCACTTGGTCCCTCACCATCATCATCATCATCATCATTATCATCACTACTATCGCCCTAATCACCATCATCATTACCACCACTACCTTCATCATCATCATCATCATCACTACCTCCCTCAACTATCAGAATCATCACTAACACCACCTTCACCATCACCACCTCCCCACCATCATCCTCACGAACACCACCACGTCCCTTATCATCATCATCATCATCATCATCACCTTCATTATCACTTCTCTCACCCCCACCATATAAACACCAGTATGCATCTTGATCAATGATAAATACACAGGCAGACTCTTCCTCCCAAAAGTACCTCATGACAAATAGAATATCATTATCATAATTTCCTCATTAATATGATTATCATTAATAAGTACTTAACTTCCACGACATTTCTTTAAACCTTAAGTATTTTCCTTCTTTTTCTTTCTCTGCTTCCTTCTCCTCCCTTTGCTTCTTCTTTTTCCTCTCCTTCTACTTTTACGATGACATGAAAAATATATGAAAATACTGGTAAATTTATTCTTCTTTTTTTCCCGGGGACGAGTTATCTGTTAATACTGAAAGATGTGACCTAAACCATTTTTTTTCTTCTTTTTATTTCCTTGTTTTGTTCCGGTGATAGGCCTTGGCTCGCAGCTTTGACCCATTGACTTCTTTAGTTATTTTTCACGACTTCACTGCGTGTTGCTAACTGTATAAGCCTGATTAAGTGACTTTACTCTCAGGTGAACTGAAAGGGGAGGAGGGGCTATTTGAAGGTTCTGCGAGTGTTTGGTATAAGGAACCCGAGTATATTATTTTAATTTTTTTAATCTCTGTTAGTTAATTTACGGAAAAAAATATTTGAAAATAAAAACAGTCTGGTTAGGAAGGACATTAATTGGTACAACTAACAGTTGGTAATATTATACCTTCCTCTCATCACCACACCAAAATCTTCACCACTTCATCATAACAGCACCAGCATTATCATAACAACACCATAACTCTCATCACAACATCATTATCACCACACAACCTTTACACACGGCCATGTCTCACCCCCCCCCCCTCCCTCTATGACTGCTCCATCACCCTCAGTCCTCCATCCCACCATGTTAACTTCCCATCACCTACCTGTTCCTCTCTTCGTCTGCCTCCTCCCACCACTACCACGATCCACACCTCATTAACCCGCTCATACGTTTCCTCCACGATACCAGACTGGCGGCAGTAGTCTCTCCTCTGCACTGGGAAGGACGCCTTTATCACAATATCAACAAACGTGGAGTACTCTATGCATTTCATCTTTCACAAGTAAATGTACATCTTTAATTTTATATAGATTAAAATCTTTTTAATTATCATAGCAATAAAGGCAGACCAACAGAGTGTTAATGAGTAGTCACATTTTGTGTTCTAACTTCATGTCTTTACTAGCAAATGAGTATATTTTCAACATTTATAATAGAAAAGCTGAAATACAGTATAAGGAAATATACAATAAGAAACATTCACAAGAGGTCTGTTAGAGATATTTTGTTCTTTTTGGTGGCTTTGGTGACAGTGTTCCATTCATTGTGGCAACGTGATACCAGTATGCCTATTGTCATGGTAATACTGAACCTGTTATTATGGTGTGCTATTTCTCCTTATGTGAATAAGTCCGCTGTTTTAATGTCAGCACTGCTTCTCGCCATACAGTATACTCTTTTAAAAGACACATACAACTAACCCTTCCCGCCCTACAAGACACACTCCTAACCCTCCCATCTCTACAAGACAAACTCCTAACCTTCCCCTCGCTACAAGACAAACTCCTAACCTTCCCCTCGCTACAAGACACACTCCTAACCTTGCCCTCCCTACAACACACACTCCAAACTTTTCCTTCCCTATAAGATACAATACCTAACCTTCTCCTCCCTACAAGAAAGACACCTAGCCCTCCTCTCCTTACAAGACACACACACACACCTAAACCTCTCCTCCCTACAAGAAACACACCTAACCTTCCCCTCCCTACAAGACACACACCTATCCCTCCCCTCCCTACCAAACACACTCCTAACACGCCACTCCCTACAAGAAACACACATAACTAGTCCCCTCCCTACAAGACACACTCCTGACCCTTCCCTCCCTACAAGACACACACCTAACCCTCTCCTCACTACCAGACACACTCCTAACACTCTCCACACATAACTAGTCCCTCCCTACAAGACCTCCAGACCCTTCTCCCTATACACTTCTCTCCTCCCTCAAGACACACACCCTAACCCTTCCTCCATACAAGACACACCCAACCGTTTCTCTCTACAAACATTCTAACCTTTCCCTCCATGACACACACCTAATCCTTCCTCTACAAGACACACACCTAACCTTCCTCCCATACCAAAGCCACACACCTAACCCTTCCCTCCCTACAGACAAACACCTAATCTTCCCTCCATACAAGACACACACACCCTATCCTTCCCTCCCTCACACCTAATCTTTCCTCCATACAAACACACTCCCTTCCCTCCTACAAGACACACACCCCTTCCTCCCTACAAGACTCAACACTTCCCTCCCCTACAAACACATTCCTCCATATAAACCTTACCTTCCTCCTCCTGCACCTCTACAAGACACACACCTAACCTTCCCCTCCTACAGACACATCAACTTTCCTCTCTACAAGACACTCCTAACCTTTCCCTCCCAGCCTGAGACCTAACCCTTCCTCCTACAAGACACACCTAACCCTTCCTCCTTCAGAACACACACCTAACCCTTCTCCTACAAGAACCACACCTAACTCCTTCCTCCCTACAGACACACACCTAACCCCTTCCTCCTACACCCAACCGTTCTCTCTACAAGACACACTCCTAACCTTTCCTCATTTTCCTTCCTCCCTACACCCTATCTTTCCTCCCATAGACACACACCTAACCTTCCTCCTTACAGACACACACCTAATCCTTCCCTCCCTACAAGACACACACCCTTCGTTCCTCTCTACAAGACACACCTAACCTTTCCTCCCTACAACCACACCTAACCCTTCCTCCCTACAGACACACACCCTAATCTCCCTCCCTAAGACACACCCAACCTTTTCCCTCCCTACAAGACACACTCCTAACCTTTCCCCTCAGCCTAGCCACACCTAACCCTTCCCTCTAAGACCTCCTTTCCCTCCATAAGACACACCTCACCTTCCCTCCAAGACACACAAATCTTCCTCACAAGACAAACACCTAATCTTTTCCTCCATACAAGACACACACCTAACCTTTCCTCCCCTGACAAACACCTAACCCTTCCTCCATACAAAACTTTTTTCCTTCCTCCAAAACACACATTCTTTCCTTAAAACACACCACTTCCTTCCCTCCCTACACTTTTTCCTTCTAAAACAAACACCTAATCTTTCCTCACATAAACACACACCTAATCCTTCCTCCATACAAGACACACACCTAATCCCTTCCCTCCCTACAGACAAACACCCTATCTTTCCTCCCTACAAGACAAACACCTAATCTTTTCCCTCCATACAAGACACACTAATCCTTCCCTCCCATGAACACACCTAACCCCTTCCTCCCTACAAGACACACCCTAATCCTTCCTCTACCATACAAACACCTAATCTTTCCTCCATACAAGACACACACCCCGTCCTTCCCTCCCACTTCAGACACACACCTAATCCTTCCTCCCCACTAAGACAAACACCTAATCTTTCCTCCCTACAAGACAAACACCCCTGTCTTTCCCTCCCACCCACAAAACACACATACATTTCCTCCACATACAAACACCTAACCCTTCTCCCCTAAACCCCTCATACACTTCTCTTCCCTCCCCAAACACCTAATCTTTCCTTACAAAACCTAATCCTTCCTCCCTTACAAGACACACCTAACCTTCCCTCCCTACAAAGACACCTATCTTTCCTCCCTACAAGACACACACCCCTGTCTTCCTCACTTACAACACTTTTTCTTCCTCCACACAAGACACACACCCTACACCTACAGACACACTGTCCTTCCCTAAGACAAACACCTAATCTTCCTCCACTTCTAAGACACACACCTATCCTTCCTCCATACAAGACACACCCTAATCTTTCTCCTACAAGACACACACTGTCTTTCCTCCATACAAGACACACTAATCCTTCCCTCCATAAGACACCACACCCTTCCCTCCTAAACCACCTATCCTTCCCTCCCTACAAACACCTTTCACCTCCTTACAGACACACCTAACCCTTCTCCCTACAGACACACCTAACCTTCCCTCCCCATTAAACACACACCCTATTTTCCCTCCTCCCTACAAACACACCTAACCCCTTCCCTTCTAAGACACACATAATCCCTCCCTCAAAACCGCTTTTCTTCCCTACACAAGACAAACACCCTGTCTTTCCCTCCCCTACAAACACACACACCTAATCCTTCCCTCCCTTACAAAACACACACCTAACCCTTCCCTCCCTACAAGACACACCCAATCCTTCCCTCCTACAAAGACAAACACCTAATCTTTCCTCCATAAAACACACACCTAATCCCTTCCTCCCCATACAAACACACACCTAATCCTTCCCTCCCTACAAAACAAACACCTAATCTTTCCCTCCCTACAAAGACAACACCTAATCTTTCCCTCCACATACAAAACACACACACCTAATCCTTCCCTCCCACCAAAACACACACCCTAACCCTTCCTCTCCTACAAGACACACACCTAATCTTTCCCCTCCCCAAGACAAACACCTAATCCTTCCCTCCACTCTACAAGACACACACCTAACCCTTCCCTCCCTACCAAGACACACACCCTAATCCTTTCTCTCCTACAAGACAAACACCTAATCTTTTCCATACCAAGAACACACCCCCTAATCCTTCCCTCCCCCACCAAAACACACCTATCCTTCCCCTACAAAGACAAACACCTAATCTTCTCCCTACAAAGACAAACACCTAATCTTTCCCTCCCCCATACAGACACACACCTAATCCTTCCCTCCACCACCAAGACACACACCTAACCCTTCCCTCCCTACAAAACACACCTGTCTTTCCCTCCCATACAAAACAAACACCTAATCTCTTTCCCTCCCTACAAAACAAACACCTATCTTTCCCTCCCTTACAAACACACACCTAATCCTTCCTCCCTACAAAGACACACACCCTTCCCTCCCACAAAACAAACACCCTATCTTTCCCCTCCCATACAAAACACACCTAATCCTTCCTCCCCTACAGACACACACCCTAATCTTTCCCTCCACCCACACACACACCTAATCTTTCCTCCCCCTAACCACACACACCTAACCCTTCCCTCCCTACAAGACACACCTAACCCTTCCCTCCATACCAAGACACACCCTAACCCTTCCTCCACCTAGACACACACCTAATCCTTCCCTCCCTACAGACACACACCTAACCTTCCTCCACCTGAGAACACACCTAACCCTTCCCTCCCTACAAGACACACACCTAATCTTTCCCTCCATACAAGACACACACCTAACCCTTCCCTCCCTACAAGACACACACCCTTCTTCCCTCCCTACAAGACACACACCTAACCCTTCCCTCCCTACAAAACACACACACCCAACCATTTCTCTCTACAAAACACACCCCTAACCTTTCCCTCCCTACAAAACACACACCTAACCCTTCCTCCCTACAAAACACACACCCAACCATTTCCTCTCTACAAAACACACACCCATGCATTCCTCTCTCCCAAGACCACACTCTAACCTTTCTCTCCCACCCACCAAAGACACACTAACCCCTCCCTCCCTACAAGACACACACCCAACCATTCCTCTCTACAAGACACACACCTAACCCTTCCCTCCCTACAAGACACACTCTAACCTTTCCTCATACAGCACACACCTAACCCTTCCCTCCATACAAGACACACCTAACCCTTCCTCCTAGACACACACAACCTTTCCCCTCATTGCAAAACCACACCTAATCCTTCCCCTCCCTGAACACACACCTAACCCTTCCTCCATACAAAACACACACCTAACCCTCTCCTCACTACAGAACACCTCCCTGCCTCCTCTCCTACAAACACACTGCTTTAGTCCCCTCCTACAAAACACACTCCTGACCCTTCCCTCCCTACACACACCTAACCCTCTCTCCTACACTCCTAACCTCCTCTCCCTACAAGCTTAGTCCCCTCCCTACAAACACACTCCTGACCCTTCCCTCCCTACAGACACACTAACCTCTTCTCCCTCAAAGACACACACCTAACCCTTCCCTCTCTACAAGACCTCTAACCTTTCCTCCATACACACACCTAATCCTTCCCTCTACAGAAGACACACCTAATCTTTCCTCACCTGAACACACACCTAACCTTCCCTCTCTACAAGACACACTCTAACCTTTCCTCCATACAAACACACACCTAACCCTTCCTCCTACAAAACACACACACCCACCATTTCCTCTCTATAAGACACACACCCAACGTTCCCTCTCTACAGACACACTCCCCACCTTTCTCTCCACTACAAAGACACACACCTAACCCTTCTCTCCCTACAAAAGACACACTCTAACCTTTCTCTCCCCTGAGACACACTCCTCTTTCTCTCCATACAAAACACACTAACCTTCCCCTCCCATACAAGACACACACCTAACCCTTCCACTCCACTTACACACACCTAACCCTTCCTCCTACAAGACACACACCTAACCCTTCCTCCTACAGACCACACCCTAATCTTTCCTCCTTACAAGACACCACCTAACCCTTCCTCACTACAAGACACACTCCCTAACCTTCCTCCTACAAAGACACACCTAATCCTTCCCTCCTCCACAAGACACTTCCAACCGTTCCCTCTCTTCCACAAGACACTCCTAACCTTTCTCTCCATAAAGACCACACCTAACCCTTCTCTCCTACAAGACACACTCCTAACCTTTCTCTCACACACACTCCTAACCTTTCTCTCCATACCAAGACACACACCTAACCCTTCCCTCCCACCAAGACACACACCCTAACCTTCCCTCCCTTCTAAGACACACCACTTCCTTCCCCTACAAGACACACAACTTCCTCCTACAAGACCACACACCTAATCTTTCCTCCTACAAGACACACACCTAACCCTTCCCTCACTACAAGACACACCCTAACCTTTCCTCCTACAAGACACACACCTAATCTTTTCCTCCCCCTTAAACACACACCTAACCCCTTCCCTCCTACAACACACACACCTAATCTTTCCCCTCCACATCAAAACACCACACACCTAACCCTTCCCCTCCCCTAGAGACACACACCTAACCCTTCCTCCCTACAAGACCACACCTAACCCTTCCTCCCTACAAGACACACACCCAACCGTTCCTCTCTACAGACACACTCCTAACCGTTCCTCCCATACAAGACACACACCTAACCCTCCTGAGCACACACCCAACCGTTTCTCTCTACAAGACACACACCCAACCGTTCTCTCTACAGACCTCCCTTTCTCTCCTTTAGAACACACACACCTAACCCTTCCCTCCCTAAGCCACCTAACCCTTCCCTCCATACAACACACACACCAAACCTTCCTCCTGTACACACACCTAATCTCCTCCTTTTTCCTTCCCTCCTACAAGACACACCCTAATCTTTCCCTCCCCTACAAGACACACACCTAACCCTTCCCTCCCCTACAAACACACACCTAATCTTCCCCTCCATATAAGACACACACCTAACCCTTCCTCTACAAGACACACCTAACCCTTCCCTCCCTACAAGACTTTTCTAACCCTTCCCTCCCTACAAGACCACCCAACCGTTCCTCTCTACAGAACACACTCCTAACCTTTTCCTCCCTTGAACACACACCTAACCCCTCCCTACAAAACACACATAACCATTTCCTCTCTACAAAGACACAACCAAACCGTTCCCTCTCTACAAACCTCCTAACCTTCTCTCCATACAAGACACACTAACCCTTCTCTCCTACGAACACACCCAACCGTTTCCTCTTTAAGCCTAAACCCCAACCTTTCCTCTCCTACAGACACACTCCTAACCTTTCTCTCCTTAGACACACCTAACCTTCCTCCCTACAGACACAACCGTTTCCTCTCTGATACACTCTAACCTTTCCTCCTTCACAAAGACACACACCTAACCTTCCCCTCTACAAGACACACCCAACCGTTTCCTCTCTACTAAACACACCCAACCATTCCCTCTCTCAGAACTCTAACCTTTCTCTCATACAAGACACACTAACCCTTCCCTCCCTTACAAGACACACACCTAACCTTCTCTCCCCTAAGACACACCTAACCTTTCCTCATTAGAACCTAATCCTTCCCTCGTACAAGACACACTAACCCTTCCTCCCCTAACACACCTAACCCCTCCTCTCACTGCCAGACACACTCCCAACCTCCTCTCCCTACAAAAACACATAACTAGTCCTCTACAAAACACCTCCTGACCCTTCCCTCCCTACAAGACACACCTAACCCTCTCCTCCTAACCAGACACCTCCTAATCCCTCTCCCCAAGAAACACACTAACTAGTCCTCCCTACAAGCACACACCTAACCCTTCTCTCTCCAGACACACCTAACCTTTCCCATTTTGACACACACACACCTAATCCTTCCCTCCCTACAAGACACACACCTTCCTTCCCTCACTACAGCACACACCTAACCCTCTCCTCCTACAGAGCCTCCCTAACCTCCTCTCCCTCAAAAAACATACAACTAGTCCCTCCACAAGACACCTCCAGCCCTTCCCTCCCTATAGACACACACCTAACCCTCGCCTCCTCAAAGACACACACCCTCCCCTCTCTACACATTCTAACCTTTCCTCCCTTAAAACACACACCTAATCCTTCCTCCCCTACAAGACACACTAACCCTTCCCTCCACACACAAACACACCTAACCCTCCCCTCCACACCAATCTTTCCTCCTACAAGACACACACCTAATCCTTCCCTCCCTACAAGACACACCTAACCCTTCCTCCATCAAAGACACACCTAACCCTTCCTCCCTACAAGAACCCTAATCTTTCCTCCATATAACACACACCTAACCCTTCCTCTACACACCTAATCTTTCCTCCTTACAAGACCTTTAATCCTTCCCTCCCCAAGACACACACCTAATCTTTCCTCCATATAAGACACACACCTAACCCTTCCTCCATACAAGACACACACCTCTTCCTCTCCTCACTACAGACACACTCCTAACCTCCTCTCCCTACAAAAACACACATAACTAGTCCCCTCCCTACAAGACACACTCTGCCCTTCCCTCCCCTATAAGACACACACCTAACCTCGCCTCCCTCCAAAAGACACACACCTAACCCTTCCTCTCTACAAGACACATTTCTAACCTTTCCTCCATACACACCTAATCTTCCTCCCTACAGACACACCTAACCTTCCCCTCCCATACAAGACACACACCTAACCTTCCTCCTACAAGACACACACCTAATCTTTTCCTCCCATACAGACACACACCTCTTCTTCCTCCTACAAGACACCTAATCTTCCTCCCACTTATAAGACACACACCTAACCCCTTCCCTAGACACACACAACCCTTCCCTCCTACAGACACACACCCAACCGTTTCCTCTCTACAAGACACACTCCTAACCTTTCCCTCCCCCACAGACACACACCCCTAACCCTTCCCTCCCCTACAGACACACAACCGTTCCTCTCTACAAGACCCTCTAACCTTTCTCTCCCTACAAGAACACACCTAACCCTTTCCTCCTACAAGACACACTCTATTTCTCTCTCCACCTAAGACACACACCCAAACCCTTCCCTCCCTTACAAGACACTACTTCCTTCCACCTACAAGACCACACCTATCCTTCCCCTCACGCCCAAAGACACACCTAACCTTCCCTCCCTCCCAGACACACCTAATCTTCCTCCATATAGACACACACCCCTAACCCTTCCCCTCTACAAACACCTAACCTTCCCTCCCCTACAAGACACACACCTAATCTTTCCCTCCACACAGACACACACCAACCCTTCCCTCACTACAAGACACACTCTAACCTTTCCTCCCTACAAGACCTACACCTAATCCTTCCCTCCCAGAACACACACCCTTCCTTCCCTCCTTAAAGACACACCTAACCTTCCCTCCCCTCTAGGAACACCTCTAACCTTTTCCCCTCATACAAGACACCACCTAATCCTTCCCTCCTGAGAACACATCTAACCCCTCCCTCCACATACAAGACTACACCTAATCCTTCCTCTACCAAGACACACCTAATCTTCCCTCCTACAAGACACACTCCTAACCTTCCCTCCATACAAGACAAACACCTAACCTTCCTCTACAAGACACACTTAACCTTCCCTCCCTACAAGACACCTAATCTTCCCTCCCTACCCTTCCTCCCCTACAGACACACTCCTAATCTTTCCTCCCCAAGACACACACCCTTCCTTCCCTCCATGCAAGACACACCAAACCTCGCCTCCCTATAAGACACACCTAGCCCTCGCCTCCCATAAGACACCTCCCTAACCTTCCCTCCTACAAGACACACCTAACCTTTCCTCCTACAAGACACACACCTAACCCTTCCCTCCCATACAAGACACACTCCTAATCTTTCCTCCCTACAAGACACACACCTAACCCTTCCCTCCCACCAGACACCTCCTAATCCTTCCTCCTACAAGACACCTAACCCTTCCCTCCATACAAGACACACTCTTAATCTCCCCTCCCTACAAGACACACACCTAACCTTCCCTCCATACAAGACCTTTTAACCTCGCCTCCCCATAAGACACCTAACCCTCCCTTCCTCACCAAGACACCTCCTAACCTTTCCTCCCTACAACAGACCACTCAGACTCCCTTTCTTCCGAAACTCACAAACACACAAACCCCGTGCCACAAGTATGTACCATTATACACTCATTAGTTCCGCTTAATTTAGAGTTTGGCATTTCTACTGTCATTAGAAGCAGCCAAGCAGTATGAATATACATGAGAAACCCCTTCCTCCGTATTGTAATCTTCGTGTATACGTGATTGACACCATGTGCTCACGTACAAGGTATCTAACTGCATTGGTCTTCTTCAGTATCTTTATTTCTTTACCATTGTCGTCTTCATCACCATCATCGTCAATGTCATCATCTTCATCATGTAATCACTATCGTCTTCATCACCATCGTCTTCATCACCATTGTCTTAATCACTATCGTCTTCATCACTATCGTCTTCATCTACGCCATCATTTTCATCACCATCGTCTTCATCACCATTGTCTTATTACCATCGTCTTCATCGCCATCGTTTTCATCACCATCTTCTTCATCACCTTTGTCTTCATCGCCATCGTCTTCATCTGCTTCATCACCATCATCTTCATCATCATCACCATCATCGTCAATGTCATCATCTTCATCGTATTAATCACTATCGTCTTCATCACCATCGTCTTCATCACCATTGTCTTAATCACTATCGTCTTCATCACTATCGTCTTCATCTACTGTACATCATTTTCATCACCATCGTCTTCATCACCATTGTCTTAATTACCATCGTCTTCATCGCCATCGTTTTCATCACCATCTTCTTCATCACCTTTGTCTTCATCGCCATCGTCTTCATCACCATCGTCTTCATCACCATCTTCTTCATCACCATTGTCTTCATCACCATCGTCTTCATCACCATTGGCTTCATCACCATCGTCTTCATCATCATCGTCTTCATCATCATCGTCTTCATCACCATCATTTTCATCACCATCGTCTTCATCACCATTGTCTTAATCACCATCGTCTTAATCACCATCGTCTTCATCACCATCGTCTTCATCACCTTTGTCTTCATCGCCATCGTCTTCATCACCATTGTCTTCATCACCATCGTCTTCATCACCATTGTCTTCATCACCATTGTCTTCATCATCATCGTCTTCATCATCATCGTCTTCATCACCATCGTCTTCATCATCATCGTCTTCATCACCATCGTCTCCATCACCATTGTCTTCATCATCATCGTTTTCATCACCATTGTCTTCATCATCATCGTCTTCATCATCATCGTCTTCATCACCATCGTCTTCATCACCATCATCTTCATCACCATTGTCTTCATCACCTTTGTCTTCATCACCTTTGTCTTCATCGCCATCGTCTGCATCACCATTGTCTTCATCACCATCGTCTTCATCACCATCGTCCTCATCACCATCGTTATCATCACCATTACCATCATCACTATCGTTTTCATCACCATCGTCATCATCACCATTGTCTTCATCACCACTGTCTTCATCTCCATCGTCACCATCACCATCGCCATCATCACCATTGTCTTCATCTCCATCGACTTCATCATCATCGTCATCATCACCATTGTCTTGATCACCATCGTTATCATCACCACTATCGAAATCACTATCGTCATCATCACCATCGTCTTCATCACCATCGTCTTCGTCACCATCTTCATCATCACCATTGTAGTCATCACCATCGTTTTCATCACCATCCCCTCCTCTTCTTTTGCATCATCATCGTCTTCCACTCCTCTTTTTCACCACCTTGACCTCCTCCTTCTACTCCTCCGCCTCCTTCTTTTTATCCTCCTTCTATTTCTATTTGCTTCGTATCATCTTTCTTTTTCTCCTCGTTCATCAACTTTTTATTTTAAATTTCTTCTTGTTCCTTTTATTTTCCTTCTGTCTACATCATCATCATCATATTTGTGTATTCTTCTTCTCATCACCATTTCATTATATGTGAAAGATGGCTTTGTCATTGTCTCTCTTGGCGTGCATTATAGATTTACTCTCCGTAGTACTTTATCAAGATGATTTAAAACACCATGTTAAAATTAAAATATAAACAATTACATACCATATACCCTTGTTTGGTCAATTAAGAAGTACTGGACACCACATCTTACAATAATAAATATACATCTAATACAATAAGATTTGTATTGTTTTATCGATGAAATTAACAAGCTTTTGTTTTGATTTTTTTTACATTTCTACTTAAGAATAAACGATGTAACTAACATTTTCAAATCTCATGTGAGGTAGTTTACATCCATGTAGACGTCCGGAGTATCAACAAAACTAAACCTGTACTACTAATACAGCCGAGACAATAAACCCTGGGTGTAGGTACCGAAGTGAAGATGTGGTTAAAACCCTACCTCCTGGAGCCTAGTATCCATCCACAGCAAGGTGATCTGGGGTTGCTCCGGGATCAAATCATCAACTCTTAAGATAGAAGGCGAGCGCTGTATGTACTCGACCGCTGAACTCCTATTCATGTAAAGATAAAAAAAAAAACAAAGTTTTCATAACATACTGCCATCTATAGTGACTCAAGATGAAATGCAACATCACCATTGACAAAGTAGAGATATACTATAAGTAATCGTCATCTCAAACAAAATGAACGTATCTTACAAATACTCACAATTTCCGTTATATTTATTATCTATCTAGACCACAAGGAAAGTTATGGTGGAAAGGCTCAGAAGTGTTGTGGTGAAGGGACTATTATGTTACCGGCCCACAGCTACCCACCCGCTGCTAGATATCACCAATCATCAGATGACACCCACAACGGGATACCTGTATCGATCAGTACCTCCAATTGTGTGTGGCCCTGTGTATTGTTTATTGACAACCGGTCTGTAATTTGTAGCAACAGAGAGAGAAGTTGACAGTTTCAACGTGAGTGAAAAAAAAAAAAACCGAACGCGAGAGCAATTTTAACCCAGCGTTGGAGTATAAATTAACTGTTAAAGTTCGTTGTCTGACCAGTGATTATCGTCATTGTGTGCGAGAGTATTAAAGCGTATCAGATAACTGCAATTACCATTGTGGAGGAGTGGACCGCTACAGTATAGACCGTTTCTTCATATACAGCAACATCTAATCTCAGAGATTACAACAATTTAAGCCTCAGATTCTTTCTTCGTGCTCTGTAATGTATCATGTCATTACTGGAGCGTCTCAAACTTAAATAAATCTTGGGTTTGATAGGATTTTCTGTCATCAATAGACCCCAACTACAGGTCCAGCTCCACCCAGTCACCTGGAGGATGGTGGAGGGAACCGTCCTTTCCTCCGACCTGTGGAGCTGCCTAGTGTTGACCCTTCAGTTGAGGTCTGTCTAAACGGCTGTCAGGCCTATCAATCACACTCTCATTTTCACGAATGGATGCTACTTACAGGCAGTAAACTTTCTATTCAAACGCCCAAAACTGACACACCTGCGAAAGAATCCACGGCGGCTACAGCGTGTCTGACATCACTAGTAATATACGTATACTGTACGGTATATATACAAAATATATCAATATACAGTAAAAATGCTGAAGTGTGTTGGTGGACTTTACACTTATTGGAGAAGACAGGTCGGGCTTATTCGTATGCGTGAAATAGTCCCCGGATATAACTGGTTTATAGGTGTGTTGAGTCATGCCGACGGTTCTCCACGAACTGTTCCAGGAGGTCGCACCACCAGAGGCGGGCTAGACCACGTCGTCTGAACACAAGTCCTTGGCAACACAACTCACCATTAAAACGCAAGTCACCGTTAAAACACAACTCACCGTCAAACAAACACAACTCACCGTCAAACACAACTCACCGTCAAACAACTCACCGTCAAACAATTCATCTTCGCCATTTGTTTGGCTCCAAAATGGTTCCCAAAAACTCAAATCAACTGAGTCACACTTTCTTCTAAACTCTATATTTAATACTTTTAATCCCCATGCCTATATCACCACCCAATGGATGAGTTTATTTCCAATTAACATTATCAGTAGTCCCTCTACTGCCAAATATTTACCTCATTTCATAAAACAAACACTCAACAACAGCATTATGCACCTCAACGTGTACATTCGATTAAGAAAAAGGTATCTTTTGAACTGAACAATCCTGTTGTCTCGTCGCTAGGGTTGGTAGGCGTGATTATTAGACATTTCCTGCCTTTTATGATACACCTAATTTAGTTATACCATTCGAAATATGAAATTGGTTTATTGGAATGACTGGTGAATAAAAGTATGCCGTAGGAGCCCTTTTCAAAAATCTTCGTTCGTGGTGTCATTTTGTTTCGCACAAGAATTGTAAAGACAGCTTTTTTGTACCGATTGTACATCAAGAATGCAAATAAACCCGGAACGTAACTCCAGTGTCCGAGTTGAGGTTTGTGTTGAGTTCTAAGTGTGTCAAGATATGTTGAAGTGAGTAAATCTCTATAACCTGCCCTCGCTCACCGCCTCAGGGAGTCTCGCCTCACAGCACGCCTAGAATCCGCCTATTGCTGGTGGTGGTGTTTAAAACAATGGTTAACTCATATTATTGTTAACTTCCGGTAAACACCTCACCGCAGGGTCGTGTACATGGGGATGGAGTCGTCGCAGAGGCGTACTGTAGGTTGCTCTGACTTGGTGACCTACCTCTCTAAGTACTGTACAGGTATTTTGTGAGTGGATGTATAACGCAGGTATATTGTAAGGAAGTATTATACATTAACTTTTCTCTCAGTGCTAAACATTGTGCAACGACGTGATAGTCATTAGATAACACTGGAAAATCTACAACCTCAAGATCTGGTGGGAGCAAGATTAAAAAAAATAATAAACAAAACGAAACAGACCAATACTTACATGCACCCAAACCAAATTATGAGTTAATTGAACATATCTGATTATGGCAATGACAATTATAGATCCTTTGAAGTGTTATAAAATTAAACAATGTCGTTAACTTTATTTTTGTGTAGCCAATTGAAGGAGGGGAGAGGGTACGTCCCCCCTAAGGAATCCGTTACTGGATAAAGTGCTCGTCTTTGTTACCTTGATCACAGAAAATCTAAAGACGGGAGTGTTCATTGTAGTGATTATCACATTAAATGCATTAATGAAGTCACCTGTCTATCCTCAAAATGCGACATAATGTGATATACAAGTTAAACGAGCATTTCACCCCTTTGTTTACAGGAAATTATCATTTCACCACTTACCTGTATCTGCTTACTGTACTAGGCGCTCGGGTGGATGACATCATAGAATCAGAAGGCTATGTTATAGAACCATTTGTTGTCAATTATTTCTGGGACACTGATCGAGTGGAACCTAAACCAATGAAATTACATTTTATTGCATTCAAGTGAGAATTTCCTGCCCGATCATAAGTACAGATGTCGGGAATCTGTTACATATTTATATTATCTATACGGACGTTGTCTTTACCATCCCAGTGCGTTTTCTTTTATTCATAGATCCGGATGAAAATTCATCATGTAAAGCAATATTTCATAAGAATTATAGTGTGTCTGTGGGTGGGTGTTTAATGGCCTAAGCTGTAACTAGTCCTTGTAATGGACATTTACAGGAGACGAGGTGCCAGTGAGCTCATTTAGCATCGTATCCCCAGCTGCACGATGTTATTTTACGAGAAAGTAAGCAAATTGAACCTCTGTGGGGTCGTGCATTACGGTGTGTACCAGTTGTCGATGCCAATGTCGGTCAAACATGTTATTAAATATGCGCGACAGAGAAAAATAGGCTCTAAAAATCCCGGCAGGAAGGTTGAGTTAGTGGTGCTACGGTCACTGGGTCAGGCAACACATGGCGCTACTGTGAGGTGAACCCCGAGTTAACTATACGTTGCGGTACATTGATTATTTTTTTCTTTCTTTTCAACGGCAACTATTTCTCACTTGTTTGTTAATTGCCGAGTGGAAGAGGAACTATTTCTCTCAGTATTAAGCATAGTAATTCGGCTTAGTTTATTTATTTAAATCTAACATTCATTTAACGTTATTTGTGACTAATTTTAACGTTGACCTTGAGGTTTGTAACTCGGTAAATATGAGATTAAACTTTCCATTATGAATATCGTGGAAATTAGTAGTGAGAGGCGTGATGTTTGATTATAGAGACTCAACATGAAGGAAGTTGGCAAATTAGAGAGAAAATATGTTAGAGTAATAATAGAATGAAATGAAGACAATAATGAATAAATTAAAATAAAAGGAGTTATAATTGTGTGCCTGCCACTGAAGACGGTGAAGTCCGGATAATGGTCACAGAAGATGCTATGATTATACTGAACTGAGCTGCTCTGAGATCGTGATATACCGGTAATCAAGTTTGGTTACAATCAGTCATACGGAAAAGTGTCATCACAAGAAAATAATGGTGTTGTAGTTAAAGTATGTTGCTTTAGTCTCCTTCAGTTAGATCATATATCCGGTGACCTCCCCATGTGCAGTATTCAGCAAAATACTGGTACAGTAATTAGCCAGTGTACGATTATCGATGTGCAATGAAAGGACTCATCTACAAGACAAACCTATTCAGTTCTTTTTATCGGATTTTGCGAAGATATTTTTTGTTTATATCTTAATTAACACGTCATTACATTCTAGGTTGGAATTCTGACATCGTGAGGAAGTAACACATATCTATATTACACGATCGTTTTCAAGCAAATTTCAGTCTTCTAATCATTCTTTAGTATTTAGAAACTCAAAACTTTATAGCTGAAATAGACGGCTAACTTTGCTCGCCTCCAAGGTCACTGATTTGCACCAAGCGCCCCCGTCCATCACTTGAAAACAGGTACCCTAATTTTTGCAGTTAGTAATGAAGGTGATCAACTGCAATGCTCGCCACTTTTTCCTCTTGTTTAAGTTTGGATTTAATATTCGGTTTGCTGTATCCGTACTGCCCCATGTTTAATTAAATCATTTGTTTTCTAAATGCACAACAACTGATAAATGTCATTGTTTTCAGAAAATTCTACTTGATCGGCATCTCTTAATTTCTACTTCTTGTCGAAAATTCTGTTGACCAACCAGCCGATTGACTAACTCTCACAGACTGAAAAATATTTTCAATCATGCCACTTGATGCAGCGTGTGACTAATATTTGGTCACTAACGTTTCCTCTCTTGCCACCAACTAAGGCTGTACTGTATAAAACTTCATCTCTGCCTCAATAACCACACGCTTGTGTTGTCAGCCCTCACAGAGTCTTCCTTCTCAGTTTCTTCCATCTATCTAGATATCTCGTATTATTCTCATCTGCATCTTTCCATCTTATTCTTGTTTTTTACTGCTCTTTCTCTCACTTTTTGGTCCGTCTTCCCCATTATTACTTTTCTTCTCTTCCCCCAAACACACTCCTTAATGTCATTCCTTGTCTTCCTCCTAATTGTTCTTCCTTCACTGGAATTTTCCTCCTCACTCCATTCTTTTATTAACTTGTCACAACTATCTTAATTTTTGACTCTTGCCTTTCCTGTAATCTTCCTCCTTACCAACTCTCTTTCGCCAATCTTTCCTTAACATTTTTATGGTACAACCACTAACAAATAAAGCATCACCATTCGTCTCTCTTTTGTTTATATTTCTTGTTTTCTTTCTTATTGATAATTTCGGCTATGCATAGCATTGAAATACATGATTAATTGGTACAGCGTTTTGCCCATATGTTGCGTACTATAAGTCATAGTTCAGAAGTCAGACCGAGACACGCAAAAGGTGTTATCCAGTGTGTCATAGAACTAAACATTACAGGCTTTCTACGAGTACTCAGTTTCTTCAGGTTTGACAGTAAGTTCACCCATACCAACAATGAATCAACCGCCCGAACAGCTAGTAAGCTGGTAAGTGGAAAAAAAAAAAAAAAAAATCTGAAATACTGGGACAAATATTATATTTTATATATATTTTCACTTACCAGCATTTCTTGATGTATATATATATATATATATATATATATATATATATATATATATATATATATATA